CTGTCATGGGCCCAAAAGTTGAATCTTTGTATAAGCAACGATACTAGAAATTGTCGATTTCTGAAAAGGTTGAGGAAGCGTCTCAAATTCCCAGGAGTCTGTCCTTTTCTTAATTACCAAATAATCCCTTAATATTGTACCCAAATTTGGCAGAAGAGATAAGAATACCCCCTAATTATAAAAAATACTTTTCGAATATTTATTGGGGAGGGGGCCCCCCCGCGTTTAATATGAGGGGGTGGGGATTAACCTCTTGTGCTTTCGCTGCTGTGCTAACTCGCCCCCATGGAGGTGCAAAAGTGGGGGGAGCCCACGGGGGGGCAGACTGTTGCTTGCACAACTTTTTTCTCTTCTTCACCGTACAGTGACCCTCCATCTGTCAACATGATGGATGCGGTAGCGGCTTGGAGCGAGGGGAGACGGGACTGCCGTCTCCTCACACCCCTAGCAAACCAAAGCAAGTGAATGTCGAAGGGGAGAACCTTTGAGAGAAGGGAGCACGGCAAGTTTCACAGGGCGAAACCCCTGTGCTGGCATGCATATTTAGCCCATATCTTTCAGTACAGCTTTCTCTCTCCGTCCAAGGCTTTTACTTCTGTAGGGGACACCCCCTAAACTCCCAACTGTTTGGTGTTTGCTTGACGGGCCGCTGAGCCATTCCATTTCTACCATGCCGTGCCCCCGCTCTGGGGCGATCATGTTACAACCTACCAAGTTCGGATCTTCCTTAATTTGACTTCCAGCACACCTTCTTCGGGGACCTTACCCTCTCTTTTTTTCGTGTGATGTTGCTACCCTTTGTTGCTTTGAACATAGGGGGATCCCCTTGAAGCTTTTCCCTACCGCAACTGAAGACCCCAATGCATTCCGTTCAGGTTACTTTGACTTGAGTAGGTTCTGGGGGTGGTTTTGCTTGCTCATTGCGCTGTCTTTTCTTCGAACGGATTGCCTGTAGTCCAAGTCAGGAGCGTTTTTCCCTTGGTGTGGCGTAAACTTTTCATGCTAGTCGTGCCAGGATGGCCTTTGGCTGCATGCGATCTCACCATTGCCCACCGCAAGGGTCGGGGGCGCTGACGCGCGCGGGCACTAGGGGCATGCTCCCTTTGTCCCTAGCCCTGGCGAAAGAAAGAGACACAGAGAGGCAAGGGGGGCAACCCTCTTGCCCATAGCCCTGACGAAAGAAAAAGAGAGAGAGAGAGAGAAACGATATCCACAAATATCCGAAACTCGAGCAAACTTTCACACCCCCCGAAAGCCTCATAACATATGGGGGGCCAATAGGCCGGGGGGCCTGACCCGTCCCCTATGCCCTGGGGAAGAAGAAGAGAGAGAAACGAAGTCTTGGAAAGAGTCGACACGTTCGCAGGATGACCTACCAAATGTCTTTCGCGGTCATGGTTCACATGGGCTTCCGCACGCACGATGGCACCCCTTTGTCCAAGCTTCCGTACTTTGTCCAGCGCTTCGAGGTCGGGGCAGTTCTCTCGAGTTTGAGTGCGTGCTCGAGTCGTAGAGCGGTGCATTTCTGAGTTTGGATGCTCCTCGCTGGTGCAGTGCAGGCATATGCTATTCAGCGTGCGATGGGGCAGAATTTGTAAGCTTGGCTGCACCAGAGCCAAAAAGTCCTCACAAAGTTCTATTAACCTGGTGGAAGCAGGTACGAGTATGCATTCCCTTCAACATTCCTGGTGCCATTTGTCTGTGAGCCTCTCGTGACGATTTATGCCGGAGGCTTACTCGCCTTGTCTAGGAAGGAAGCCTGGCAAGAAAGTTGCTGACACCTGCAGGGCCTACTGCGTGTTGGCATCTTGCTGGTGCGCTCCCATCCCGAGATGAACCTGGTCTGCATGACCAGGCGGTCCTTTCACGCACGCATTGCTCAGCTGACTCAGGAGCCCCATGCTTGCCACACAGTTGCTTTCAGCCAACGACTTCGAATTCGGCCGCTATGCCGATTCGCTCCTGAACATTTCTCTCGCCGTCGCTCAATGATGATTAGTAGGAATGGCCATGTTGAACACTGGCTGAAACTTGTGTCATGTAGCCAGGTGATGATGTTCTTCTTCCCAGGCTCGAAGTTTCGAGCCTAACTTCTCACAACCTTTTGCCGACCAGGCGGCTACACGCACTGGATCTTCTTGATGCTAAGCGTCTGCCAGGCAGAAGTGGATCATGTAAAGCTGCTCCACGTCCTGCTCTTGCTCACTCTTGCTCGCCGTGCTTCAGCTGCTCAAGCCCTTCCGCCCAGAATTGCTATGGAGTGCAAACCACGAGGCTCACCATCTTTCCGAAGCAGAAGGGCTGCGACTTCCAGGGGAGCGGGGTCGCACAGTGGCGGAGGACCGAAGCCGAAGGCGGAGCTCCCAGAGCTCGCGGCTTTACAAACCCTGCCGCCCGGTGCCAGCGATGCAGAGCTGCAGCAGGCATCCAACGCCCATGCAGCAGACTGAACTGACTTGCTGGAGCCGGAGGTGCTACATCCCTTCCTGGAGGGTTGGCGAAGGAATCCCAGGCGGCGCGAGGAAGGGTGACAGAGAAGCAGGGTTGACAGCCACAAAAAGCGGCAGGTTCTGCACGGCCCTTCTCAGCCGGCTTGCTAAGCAGAGGCAAGCGGACCTTGCGCAACAGGCCGACAGCGTGCCGATACTGCGCCGACTTTAGACATTTGGAGCCTTGGAATTTCCAGCTTTGGAGGTACTTGGCACGATGCGAAGCAGTGATGTGAAGCTGAACGTGTACCACTGCAGCTCAGTGATCAGTGCCCTGGAGAAGGCACTCCATGTGATGGTTTTTATGTTACCACGCTTCTGAGCTTGTTCATGAGGTCCATGATTGGCAGGCTGCTTTGCAGTTGTTCCTCGGCCACGACATAATGAGACCACGAAGCAAAGCACGTCTGACTCCTGACTCCCTTTGGACGGGAATCGAGAGTTGGCTGAGGCTCGCCAATATGGTTGACTGGCATGTCCCACCGAACACCTTGAGCCGCTTTGTCTGCAGACCCATCCTTCTCTCTCTGTCGAATTCAGTCCAGCGACGCCATCGGCAGGTTACAACGCATCGATCAGTGCTTGCGAGAAGTGTGCGCAATGGCAGCACGCATTGTGGCTGCTGCAGAGCATGCGGGTATCTTGATTGCGTCTTCGGCATTCGATCCCGTCTCGTCGTCTCCATGTCCTCCTGGAGCTCAGGCTGTTCAGGCAGAAGCGGATGTCATCAGCTACAACTCGTGCATGAGCGCCTGTGGGAAGGCTCTTCCCACGTGTCGAAGCCGCCGTGATTGCCAAGTGCCTTGCGTTCTCAGGCTGCTCGTTGGCGGGATGCTGTGAACTTGTTGGAGGCCCCATTGGTCCTGCAAGTTCTTAGCTTTAGACCCCGTGCCGTTTGCATGCTGAGATGATCTTTCTTCCCGCTCCGTCGATTTGAGGAGCTCGTTCAGAGGGATGCCCCCGACGTCATCAGCTCCTTGCATGAACAAGTAAACCACGAGAAGACAGATGAGGCGACTGGTTTGACAAAGTTTGGGCATTTTGAGCTAGGGCGATGTGCTGGCTTCGGCTGGCCAGGCATACACTTTGCCTGGCTCGTGTGCATTCATCCGAGCCGCGGAGCTGTAAGGTTTCAACGCTGCGATCACTGCCTGTGAGAAGAGTGGCCAGTGGATGCGGGCACTTACGTCGGCGGCCTGAGCTCAAGCCGACCCGAAAGGTCTTACTTAGCCTTGTCCGTGCGAGAGGAGCGACCTGAGGCTGTTGCGCGCCATGCCGCCGAATCAGCCAAATGCCACAGGCTGAGCTTCCGTCTTTGAGGCAAAACAAATCTATTGAATGCACCATCATGTGAGGTCACAACATACAATGCCTCGATCAGTGCATGCGAGAAAGGTAGTTGTGCCGAGCATGCCTATCGCCTCCTGGATGAGATGATGGATCTGTCTCTGCCACCGGACGCGCCTTGAATGAGATGCTTTCTGTATCTATTTAGCACCTGCACAAAGTCGAGAGACAGCACAACTTACAGATCACGGTAGGCCCTGTGGAAGAAGGGGCTAGTGATAACCCAGTGGACAAGCACAATGACCCTGTCTCATGAGCCTCCTGCACAATTGCAGAGCCTGACGTTGCCTGCATCCAAGCCAATGAAAGGTGATCTCATACAGTGCTGTCGTCAGTGCCTGTGAGAAGGATCTGGCTTTAGTGGCGTGTCCTGCGTGACCTGATTCGCTTCTCCGTTGTGCCGACACCTGGTTGTGAAGCCTTGCTCCTGCGCCCAGCAGGACTGGCGCTGGCAAGATGCGCTACAGGTGTTGACCGTCATGGGTATTCAGCAGAGGCTTTGATGCAGATGGTGCATGCGGAAGGGTGCGGTTGCAACTCTTGGATGTCAGTGTGAGCTTCGTGCACTGCACAGTCAGGATTTTGCCCAACCTGATCACCTTCAACGCCGCAATAAGTAGCTGTGCCAAAGCCGGCCACTGGCTCGTTGCTTTGGATCTGCCACTTGTCTGCGTCAGGCTTTTGGGGGTTGTGATAGCTTGTCGAAGAAGAGCTGAGACACCGCAAGGTTTGCGGGCATGGCAGAAGCAGCGCTTCTGGCCGATGTGATCAGCTATAACTCTCTAATCAACGGCTTTTCCATCGTGTCAAACTGGCAATGCGCGCTGAATTCACTGGACTGCAGCTTTGTTGCATCCACATCTCCCGATGTGCCCTGCATTCCTAAGTAGGCCACCTCCAGAGTCCAGAATCCCACGTAAATTGCGCTTGCTTTCAGTGCCAGCTCTCGTCTGCTGGAGTAGTCGGCCAGCATAGACAATGCAGCCAAGTGGTGGCTTGTGGTGGCCTCCGGGTAAGCAAAGACGGTAAGTGAAAGACCCGAAAGATGCTGGACATCTCACAGCTTGTTGTTCGTTATACGTGGGCCCGCACAACTTCAGTGTTTTTCGAAGCCTTCGACCGATCCTTCTCCAGACTGACCGGCTCGTTTTCTTGGGTCGGTCCGGAACACTCTTTGCTGAGGTATGGATCACCAGCGCCTCGCACCGACAGCGATCACCGTAAATGCGGCCATGAGTGCCTGTGACATGGCCGGCCATGCAGCGCTGTCCATCCGCATGTACGAAAGCTGGTTTCAGGCAGTCCTTTGAGCATGCTGACCCGCCATGAACGCCAAGTGCACCTCTGGTGGAAGGCAGTCGCTCCGAACGAGATCTCTTACGCCGTGGCCACCAAGGCTTACGAGACCCTGGGCGATTGGCCCAAGGTCGGGGTGTTCATTTGCCGACAACCGGCAGTGCTTTTTCTTCATTTGGCGTGATGCCTCAGATCCTGGCGAGGCCACTGGAGTACTGACAGCTATGAGGCAGTGCAAGATTGAACCGAGCATTGTCTGCTGCCTGGAAGCATCTGAAGGAGATTTTACATTGTACACCTTGACCTGACTGTGTTGTAGCACGTGAGACTTGGGACGTGGAGCGACCTGTGAGGCTATGGTAGTGTCCTGCAAGCTTGTGCAACAGCAGCAGAGCAACTGCAAACGCGTGACCTCCTGGGGGATCTGTGGCTTGGATTTCAACATATGCGTCTGATTTAGACACAGCTGGGTCGGAAAGCCTTTGTAAGTGACCGTGGCGCCTTGCCTGATGTGTAGCAGTGTAGCTTTTACCATGTTTACCTTGTCGAGCTCGGCCGAGGTCAGGCCTAGCTGTGCAGCTCTGTAACAGAATCGAGCGGGAAAAGGGAGCGTCGTTTGCCGTTCCAGCAGAAGCCTTGATGTCTCACGTTCATGTGGACCTGAAAGAGGCTTACATCTACTTGCTGGACCATTGGCGCATTCTGCGGGTAGTACCAGCCGCCACCTTCGCATCCATGCAGGTAGATTGGTGGTGCCAGGTGGGAGTGCAGGGTGTCTCTGAAATTCTGCGGCTTTAGAGTTGGAGCCTGAATCTGGAAGGCAATGTTGGCACCGAGCTGTGGGTTGCTTGCGGCCTGCCTCGTCTTCAAGGGCAACTGCCAGGGTGTCGGGTACTGCACCTTGCCCTTCTGAGAGTGTGTCAGCAGAAGTTGAAGAGCAGAGTGCGAGATCTCCAATCTGACAATCAAGGCATGGAAGCGCAGCACCTGATCCTCACTTGCGTAGCGGCTGGTGTGCTTCACACGGTACCCTGCGATCGGTTTCTGCATGCGTGACCTGTACGGGGTCCAGAGCTAGAGCTGCCTCTTGGTGCATGTGCTGCAGCAGGTCGTTCATGTTCTTTTGCTGCTCTTCTTGGTTCCACGCTTGGCCAGTTCAAGTGCGCCGGCTGCTTTGCAGCATCTCTAGATCTGCAGTATCCGGCAGTTAGATGCGAGCAGAAGTGCAGATCTGGTCGAGGTGAAGGCAGCCCTCCGGCCATGCCGCTTTGAAGATGTCGCGGCTGAGGAAGCTTGCAAAAGAATTAAGTCCGAACAGGCTGTGTGCTTGGTGGAATGTGTCACGACCAAGGAACCATGCACCTGGTTCTCTGCAAACCCGGTCCATTGCCTCCGCTCCAAGTGCATGAACGGCCACTCGCCGTGCAGCTTCTTCGTCCCCGGGCAGGTGCTGTGCAGTGAAGTTTGAATCCCTGAAAAAGAGCAGAAACAAAAAGAAAGCTTTCCTTTCCTCGGAGGAGCAGATGGTCTTTTCCAAGGCCAAGTCCGCCAAGGCCTGGGCCGGCCGGCCGGAAAACCCTCACCGCAACTGGGGCCATCGGGGGCCATCGATGCAGAGGCCGAGGATGCCAGCAGCTTTGAGATGCAGATCCCTGACCTCCCTCGCCTCCAAGGCCACATAGAGCCTTCCAGAAAGTGGCTAGACCTGCTGTTTTCACATCACGGCCCAGCCAGGACTTCGAGAGATGTTTCCTCAGTGCCTTTCTCGGCTCTCTGGCAGCTTTCATTCCTGTCGAGATGCGATGCCCAATGTGCACATGGGTGCCCAATCAAGGATTGTGTTCAGAAGCTGACGGCCCAGTGGGCGCAGTGCTTTGATCCCCTTCCATGTCAAGCTACGGGTTCACTCGATCCATCGGTCTACGTGTGGCGCCAAGCCCGACTTTGGGCCTGCAGAGCCGGGTGCAAAGTATTTCGGGCTCCATACACACTAAGCTGTCCGTGGCACAAGTCCACGGAGCCTTTGGAGGGAAAGACTGCCCCGACTGGGTTGCTGTTCCGATGCTGCGATGCTGATCGACAGTTCCTGCCGTGCTTCCAATGCCTTGTTGATGTTGGCTCAAGTCTCCATGGAGTGGCCCAGGGATGGTGCCTACGTCGGGAGGGGCGATAGTTGGATCAAAAGGTTGTTTCCCAGCCCGTCTGTAGAACCCTTCCACGCTCGTAGGTGGTGCATGTACTTGTGTTCTTTTCATGTGCGGGGGGATGTCTAGAGTCTCGAGTTTTCGGCATGGTCTGATGTAGCTGGAAACATGGGCGGCCGGCACAGCGCCGCAAAGGATGAGGTGGTCGAATTTTCGGATGGTTCGCCTAAGGCGAAAGGCACCTCGTTGCTGGTCGGACCTGTTGTGAATTCAGCCGTGTTGCCGCATTTACGAAACTTTATGCGACACTGTCGTCCAAGGCATGGTTGCACCAGACGCAGAAGTGCTGCTGCATGACTACTCCTCTATCGTTCTTCTCAGTTCCCCGGCGACAGCGACGGCAGCGGCGGCATGAGAAGCGAAGTGGTCCGTGGCTGTCTGTGTTGCCGAGGCTTGCGATGCGAGGGCCTTCGGAAGGGACGATGCTTTGCTCAGAATTGGTCCAGTAACGGAGAAGGTGATCACGAGGACTTCTGGCGAGCGACCTCTGCAGCTGAGGAAATACGCTTGCCGTAGTATATTCCAAGTTGGGCACGGACGATCTTTGGACCGAGTGCCTGGCCTTATCAGCCATCTTACTTCGGTGTCTCGCCAACTTGACACGGTGCCACATCTGTCCAGGTACGGTTCGACTGAGATCTGCGGGCAGGAAACTTGCTGGCCAGTGTGGGAGAAAATGTTCGAGCTGCAGTTTCGAATAGCCACTTGGCACAAGGGGCCCAGACAGCAGCTTCTGCAGCGCCAGCAGCTAGCAGAGGTCATTGTTTGGCATCAGCCAAGTTGTGCAGACTTGACACGGTTTTCCACTACCGGTTATCAATGTGTGTAAATGTGGGCATTCAGTGAAATTTGCTACCGGAACTCTCGAAGCCCATCCAATCTAAGGAGCACGTTCGATTGATCAGGGTGGAAATTTACATAATCCGTGTCTTGGCGCAGGTTTGAGTATTTCTCCACCTGCAAGCCACCACAAAAACCTGAATGATTTTGAATGCACATGATCCAGGCAACCAGAACATGCAAGAGGACCTAATGGAGCAAAAGTTCGTTGGCTCCGCCGAGTTTAACCTGGCAGAGGCTGTGTATGCACGATCAAACCCGAAGAATCATGGGTGGCTCAAGAAGAAGCTGGAGAACGTGCGCAGGAGCTTTTGCCTGTCTCTTCAGGTTGTTTTGCTTTGCCTCTCGCATGTCGTCGAACCACGCTTGGAGCACTAGCCGCGACTTTCGTTTCAGGCTTTGCAGTTTAAGCACGATTCGAACACACATTCCTAGTATTCAAGCACTGGACATTTCGCGCGACTCGGCTACTCAGTGCGCCAGTCGGTTTGAGTTTCTTACTTGCTGCCAGAGCTGTCCGTGAGGAAACCACGCGATCCTCCTCTTGGCAAGCTCCTCGTCTATGCAGAGGAATCTATAAATGCAAAGGTCGTTCCCAAGCTGCAGACATAACAAGACAACATTGTAACATGAAGCTCGTTTGAGTTCTTGTCACCGCTTGTTCTGAGGAACTTTCCTTCCAATTGTCTGCGCACGACCTGAAATCTACAGACTTCTGGAAGAGGAAATGCGATCCGTATTTTGTGATGAACCGCATCGAGGCGCTTGGTTTTCGAGCGCTGCATGTCGTTGCGATATCACCTCGGTTGAGTCCGAATCTGGCTGTTCGTTCATGGCTTGGTTGTGCGCAGGGTGTGTACGATACCGGTGAGCTCTTCTTGGCGCCGGTTTACCGAAGCGAAGTTGCTCGAAAGACGAGCGAGGCATCCTACGAGGACTCTTTCTTGTGGCTACAGAGAAACAGCAGCCATGTGAGGGCATTTGCATGGATCGAAGGAAAGCAGCTACACAGTGGCTCAGACGAGCTCTTGCGACATCTACCAGGATGTGATCATCACGGATCGGGCCTCGTTGGGTCAGCCACTCATTGGCGAGATCCTGACCCGAAGCCAAGGTGCATGACTGGTTCCGATTGGGCCAGGATCGTTACATCGGTGAGTGCATCACCACTTTCGAGGATTGGACTTCGTGGTTTGTACCTCTGATTTGAGCATGACCGCTCTCGGAGGAGCTGCAGAAAATCGTCGGCAGAGGAAATCCCCACACCTTCCCGCTCTACAAACGGGAGGGTCCCAGGCCAGCACAAAGATCAGCGGCAAGCGCCCAGCGACTGCTTTCAGAGTGCAGGATTTCGGGCTTGACGCGTGTGAAGACCACGGCGGCCATGTTACGATCTGCTACGAAGAGCAGCAGAAGCGGATCGGGTTCAAGGCGCCTTGGGATGTCTTTGAGGCAGCCGGCAGCATTCTCGGGCCAGGTCTGGCTCCAACTCGCGCGCGCAATCCACCCTTTCCGTGGAGCGGGCAGATAGCAAGAGGACAGGGATGGGAGGGGCCGGGTGGGGTGATGCAGTGGTGCTTTCTCGGGTCACTCATTCTGGAACTCGTTGCTGGAAGTCGGCACTGCTCTGAGTCTTCCTCGTGGCAGGAAGAGTACCAATGCCTCGGGCGAGAAGCGAACGACGTCTCGACTAACAGCCAGGAGTTTCCTTGAAGACTGGCATGCTTTCCATATCTGTCGACACCAAGCGGACCGGCGTAGAGAGAATCTGCTTGCGAGGCCCCAAGTCTCCGACCAGAAGTCCACCTATGTAGTGGCTTCAAACCTGCCTGCGTTGGCAGAGAGCAATGGTGATGATAATGCTGCTGATGATGCTGGTAGCGTTGCCTCGATTGATCGTCTTGATCATAGGTGATCCCAGTGATGCTGCCGGTGGTCGTGATGGTGATTTTGATGATCCTCATTCCAATCACCACCTGGCTACGCAAAAAGCGAGTATTCTGGGGATGTTGAACTGTCATCGAGCTGACGGGCAAGGCTACAATGCGGCCCCATTGCGTCAGAATCTACCGTTACGTTGTGCCAACATGGAAACTCCATCTTCACCATGTGACGTCGTGGTCAGAGATGTCTGTAGCACTTGAGCATTTGGTAGGTTGCCAGCTGTTGAGTTTCTCAGTCCTGCTTTCATCACCCCGAAGGACAGCATCACAGATATCCGGCGGCAATAGCGGCGGTGGTCACAGGATTCGGGAGGAAGAGGCCAAGACTAAGGCAACTTGAGGCCTATTCTGCCGCGCAGGACCTCTTCGCAAATCTCGGGGCACTCGAGGATGAGCCACTCATCTGGTGGTAGCAAGACCGTGTCAATGACATCCTCAGAAGTTCGAAACCAAGGCAAGGTGGTGTGAGAGCAACTTCCTGTTGTAAGCTTTCCCCACGCTCCTCGGGAGGTGGCAAAGGCAACTTTGGGCCGCTTGTGGGCTCCGTAACATTAGATGGACACCGGTTCAAGCGGCACTATACCTTTTTGGACTACTTGCGCGGCGGCTTGGAGCTTCAGCTCATGGTGGCGGTAGACTTCACGCGGTCCAACCTTGGTCAGACAAATCCAAAGTCGATGTTGCTCGACTGATATTTTTGGTTAATGTGCTCATTTCGCATCTGCTTGTTTGGTCGGTCCAGTTTGGCCAACCGAGGCATAGTGTGGTGAACATGGACGAGGAGACGGCCTATTCGACAGCTATCAGGGCCCTTGGAGAGGTAATGTCTGTGTACGACAACGACAAATGCTATCCCATCTATGGTTTCGGGGCCAAAATACCGCCGTCACATTCAGTTCGCAGCTCAGAGGCGAGTACAGAGCGCGGAGCAGTGTGCAGAGTATCTTGAGCATCTTGCTATTGAACAATGACGGGAGACTCGCAGAAAGCAGGGCATGATTGGAGGAGTTTAGAACGAAGCCGGTTTGCCAAGGTCGTCTCCAATTGCTTTGCTCTTACTGGTGATTTTTTTCAACCTGAAGTCGAAGGCATCCCAGAAAGCATAGTCGTCAACCATTCTCGCAAGTGTGCTCCCGATCCAGGCGTGGAGGGCATGCTGAAGGCATACCATCGTGCCCTTCGAGTTTGCCACTTTCATGGACCCTCATATTTGTCTGCAGCCCCGCTGCAAAGCTATCCTCGTTTCTGGACTTTGCCGTTCATTTCCCACATGCTCAAGCCCAGGAAGTCATTAAGCTGGCCGCCAACATGGCAAGGCCTCCGAGCCGAATACCGCAGCTCGAAGCTCGTGAGCGTTTCCTCCAGGATCTCATGGCAAGTCTTGCAGGCCTTACGTTCAGCCGAAGTTCCTCAAGATCACAGAGGCACCGCCCGACATGAGGTGCGCCTTCTGCCATTGCAGCGAAATGAGATCGCATTTCCCGAAGTGCCAATGTGCTGCGACAGAACCCTATACGGCACTCCTGCGAGATATGAGAGAGAGGGAGAGACACAGCTGTGTTGGGCGCGCTCTTGCCTAGAAATCCAGAAGCGGTCATGGTCCCAATGCCCAACGAAGGACAAGAAATGCAGCAAGAGCGTTAAAGGCAAGCGGCGGCGATTGTGCCGGGGGAACTCTGCGGCTCTCTGGAGGAGCATGGAGGAGGACAAGGTGCTGCGCTTCCTCCATGACCCAGGTTGCTGTCGCACTTCACGGAGCCCTTCTCTCGCGAGCACTCGCAAGCGCCGCTTCCTTGAGGACAACAGCTCAGTTGTCCGACGCCTCGAATTCAAAAGACCTCGCTGGACTTCGGCCCGAAAAAAATTCATGCAAGACGTTTCGCAGATCGGGAGCCTCCGGCATGTTGCACATGGTTTCGAAAACAGCGTTCTTCCTGGCGCGGCGACTGGCGAGGGCTTTGATCGAGCGTGTCTGGCACAGTGTTGCCGCTCCCAGTCCTAAACATGCAAAATGCTGAGATGTTTGCAGCACAGAAACTTTCCGGAAACCCGCTGCATGCACACATGGGAAGACCCATGCCAGTCGGAAGGATCGCCAAGGCCTAAGGTCGAGCAAAAATGCCCCTAAACACCACCAGGCACTATGCCAGAAACCCTCAGGGAACATCCAAACTCGAAGTGAAGGTACTTTGTGCTGTTGGTGCTGACAGACGGTGACATCGAGGTCCCTTCGAAGCGGTTGAGTTGTGCGAACTGATGGAACGTGACGGTGTTGTTTCCTTGGCCCAAGCTGCTGTCCGGCTTTTCCCACCTGTTCTGCAAGACTTGTACGAATGGCTGAGCAGGTATTTAGCCTCAGTTCCATGCTTCAACTTGAACATCGCGAACACACCGCCTGCAATGTCGCGGTCTTTCTCAGTGGAGACAGGCGTTGCCCGCCCCCTCAGCGAGGAGGCGACAGACAGGACATGTGGAATCCAAGAGACCAGTGAAACTGATGACTCTAGCGACATTTTCCGAAGCGAAACATGTGCTCTTTAGGACATCGCCGAGGCCGGCGTGCTTGACCAGATTGTCTCACGGGCTGTTTCCGCTGCTTGGCACGGCGGATCAAGTTCGATTGGTCTTGAGAGTTGCTTCAGTCTCAATCCGCCTCCGAGGTTCCTGAAGTTGCGCCACGCGACTGAGGAACCTTTTTGGAGACGGTGTTGTGAGTCACAGCGAACACCCAGGACGGCACAGACATCAAGCATGCCATGTTAGTGACTTGTGACCTAGCTTTGCAGAGAAGGCCGTCGGAGACCTTTCTTGCTGGTTTGGGCTTTTGGTTGCTGGCCGTCGCTGTCGTATGTGACTTGAATGCACCTGCACATCATGGACACCGGCATTCAGTGCAGTTATTGGCCCCGCCAGGCTACCTGCTGCTGACGATCTCGTCAACAACTTTCTTGATGAAGGAGGTGCCGGACTCAAAGCCAAAGAAGTACGAAGCGATTTCCAAATTTCCTGGAAGCCGGGCTCTTTGTTGATGGCGTGAGCGCAATTCTGTCCGGAGTGCTCGGCAGAATGCCAGAAGAACTGAGGTGGGCGGCACATCTATTACTTTTTGTTGGTGAAGCGGCTGGTAGAAGTGACAGTGCTGAACCACCTTTGTGGGAATCTTATGGAACCTCTCCCAGCGCCACGGCTTTAGCTTTAATTGTGCTGTCCCAGAATGCCGTGGCATGTTCCGGCATGATGTGGCCAAGGCCATGTACCAGAAGCGCTTTGAGGATTTGGAGCACATGCGGCCACATGGGGTGGTCCGTGGTCTTCAGAGAATGATCACCAGCCTTTTCAGGCGAGATTCCAAGAGAACCAGCAGGACTCATAGCAGGCCAGCTCCTTGGTGCATGCCCCCTGCCAGGCGTCAGCATCGCGAGAAGTGGCTGACATCGTTTGTCCCAGACTATATCCTTCTGCTTGTGGTAGGCAGCATGGGAATTGTTTATGTTGTCGTCCTCTGCTCCCGGAAGTTGGACGTGCACGTCTACCAAGAGACAGAGCACTTCATCATTGCCCGAAATGACCCGGGCAGTGCTGCCCTGCTTATCGTGGATTCCGTCGTGTATGCTTACACCATGGTGCTCGTGACTGGCTTCCTTCTCTGCACCTTAGAGCAAAACGTTGTCGCAAAGCCTGATCGCCAGCGAGAATTCTTCAGCGCACTTGCTCTCTTCATCATGCTGTGGGGCACGAACTTCTTTACGACCCTCTACGACCGGCAGATCTACACCAGCGTTCCTCTCCAAGGGTTTTGATGCCTTCATTCTTAGCCAATGTAGCGGAGAGGCTTTCGTAGTTGAAGAGAGTGTCGTCGGTCGAGAGGTTCTTTCTCGGGCCGAGGCCTGGGGACTCCCTGCGCCAGCTACTATCAGGATCCTAGCTTCCGCAGCGCAGGTCTTTGTAACCCATTCGATGGCGACTTTGCCTGCAGTGGGGTCGTCCATGAGCACTAAAGAAATAGGGACACGGACTCTGTAATTCTGCCTGGTACAAGTAAGGTCATGATGGGAGCCGTGCTTTTTGGTCACTCGGCACACTTGCGACGAACACCAGATCTTACCTGGAAGGATTTTCTTCTGAAGCTCTTGCCAAGGCAAAATCGGGTCAATTGTAGCAGTAGCATGCCTCTTGTTCTGTTACATGGTACCCTTGAAGTGTGCTGCTCCTCGCCATCGCTGGCGTGTGGGTGGGCTTGCAGCGCCAGTTCCACGAGCACTCCGAGTGTTTCCCAGAAGGATACAGGCTCTTCGCGCAGACTTGGCCGTACTTTACAACACTGGTTGCCAGCCTTGGCGGCCTTGCACTGCTCCTGCTGACTTTCTGTGCGCGGGCGCGAGATGCTGAAGAGTCCGACTTCACAAGCCTCTTGGATTCTTGGCAGATGGGAACCGAGTGAAGTCGAAACACTCCGAAGCTTGAAGCTTTTGGATGGATGCATGACTTGAAGAAGTGCTGAGGACTACGACTCATTGCTGATTATGCTCACCGTGTCCCTTGCTGTCATCGGGAACATCAACACAATATTTGCGAAGCTTTGCGACATTTTACTTCACGTATGCTCTGCTTCTGGGCTTTGATCCGCTGTGAGATGTCGTCTGAACTTTCCTGCGAACAGGATGGAGGCTTCCCGTGCCTTGGCATCTTACTGTTCCGGCGGCTCGCATGCTCCGTACCAAAGCTAAAGAAGTCCACGAAAAACTAGGAGCCATCAGCAGCTTCTGTGGTGCCTTAGCACGGCTGCTTGGTCCAATCGGCATCTCCACCTTCGCCTTCGCTGCTTGGAAAGATCCACCGCGACGAGAGGAGCCCAGGAGTGGACGGGAATCTCTTACAGCTTCAGCTGCTAGGGCTGCGAGGGCCGCTAAAGTCTTAGTCTTGGCCAAAAGGGCAAGAGAGACACAGATCTGTTCTACCTGGAGCAGATAGAGGAGCGGAGGCTTGTGGCTTGGCCTGGTGCGCCTTGGCTTCATCTCTCAGGAAGACGCGAGCCAATGTGTAAAGCTTGACTCGAACATGCCTCAGATGCTCAGGCTAGCAGGCGTCATGTTTATCGAATTTCAGATGCTCGGCGCGCAATCTTGTTCTTCATGTTTTGATGATTGCATACTATTGCATGGTGTCAGTCCTGCCAACGAATTTTTCGAGGAACCTTGAGGATTGTGAGATCGCCTCGGAAGCTCGGCACGAGTGAGCTTTTTGTTACATCGACTTGAGTTCAGCGCAGAAGCTGCAATCACCTCTAAGGACATGCCAGGATGCTGTACCTACCCAGGTCTTCCTGGATACAATACCCACGAGCACCGGAACTTGAAGTGCAGCAAAGATCTGCGCTGTATGGTGACGCAGTTTGATACGCCGTGTGATCTGGGGGACGCGGAGGATCTGGAGCTGGATGCTGAGCTTTGCCGAGTGCAGAAGACTCTGACACATTGCGCTCTACGTGGTCGGAGTCAGGTCCCTGAACATCACACAGTTGAAGCAGGCACCGGTTCCCTGCTCCGGCTCTTCGTGAGACGCAATTCAAGATCGGGGCCTCCGGTGCAATCCATCATGATTTGTTTAGCTTTAATTCCTTGCATTTGGGCACCACGCATACACACATATACAAATGCACACATGTAGGCACACGTACACACATGCAGGCATGCATGCGCACATTACATTTCTCTCGCTCTTTGTCTCCCCCCGGCTCATATCATGCACTTATCTCCGTCCCCACGAAAGCGTGACATGAACAGTTCAATGCTGGATCAGGGCTTGTGCAACTTCTCTCTCTCTCTCTCTGTCTC